AGTGACACTACTCACCTGGTGTACATCACTCAGTGACACTACTCACCTGGTGTACATCACTCAGCGACACTACTCACCTGGTGTACATCACTCAGTGACACTACTCACCCTGTGTACACCACTCAGTGACACTACTCACCTGGTGTACATCGCTCAGTGACACTAGTCACCTGGTGTACATCACTCAGCGACACTACTCACCTGGTGTACATCACTCAGTGACACTACTCACCTGGTGTACATCACTCAGCGACACTACTCACCTGGTGTACATCACTCAGTGACACTACTCACCTGGTGTACATCACTCAGTGACACTACTCACCCTGTATACATCACTCAGTGACACTACTCACCTGGTGTACATCACTCAGTGACACTACTCACCTGGTGTACATCACTCAGTGACACTACTCACCTGGTGTACATCACTCAGTGACACTACTCACCTGGTGTACATCACTCAGTGACACTACTCACCTGGTGTACATCACTCAGTGACACTACTCACCCTGTGTACATCACTCAGTGACACTACTCACCTGGTGTACATCACTCACCTGGTGTACATCACTCACCTGGTGTACATCACTCACTTGGTGTACATCACTCACCTGGTGTACATTACTCAGTGACACTGCTCACCTGGTGTACATCACTCAGTGACACTACTCACCCTGTATACATCATTCAGTGACACTACTCACCCTGTGTACATCACTCAGTGACACTACTCACCTGGTGTACATCACTCAGCGACACTATTCACCTGGTGTACATCATTCAGTGACACTACTCACCTGGTGTACATCACTCAGTGACACTACTCACCTGGTGTACATCACTCAGTGACACTACTCACCTGGTGTACATCACTCAGTGACACTACTCACCCTGTGTACATCACTCAGTGACACTACTCACCTGATGTACATCACTCAGTGACACTACTCACCTGGTGTACATCACTCAGTGACACTACTCACCTGGTGTACATCACTCAGTGACACTATTCACCTGGTGTACATCATTCAGTGACACTACTCACCCTGTGTACATCACTCAGTGACACTACTCACCTGGTGTACATCACTCAGTGACACTACTCACCTGGTGTACATCACTCAGCGACACTACTCACCTGGTGTACATCACTCAGTGACACTACTCACCCTGTGTACATCACTCAGTGACACTACTCACCCTGTGTACATCACTCAGTGACACTACTCACCTGGCGTACATCACTCAGTGACACTACTCACCTGGTGTACATCACTCAGTGACACTACTCACCCTGTGTACATCACTCAGTGACACTACTCACCTGGTGTACATCACTCAGTGACACTACTCACCTGGTGTACATCACTCAGCGACACTACTCACCTGGTGTACATCACTCAGCTACACTACTCACCCTGTGTACATCACTCAGTGACACTACTCACCCTGTGTACATCACTCAGTGACACTACTCACCTGGTGTACATCACTCAGTGACACTACTCACCTGGTGTACATCACTCAGTGACACTACTCACCCTGTGTACATCACTCAGTGACACTGCTCACCTGGTGTACATCACTCAGTGACACTACTCACCCTGTGTACATCACTCAGTGACACTAATCACCTGCTGTACATCACACAGTGATACTACTCACCTGATGTACATCACTCAGTGACACTACTCACCTGGTGTACATCACTCAGTGACACTACTCACCTGATGTACATCACTCAGTGACACTACTTACCTGGTGTACATCACTCAGTGACACTACTCACCTGGTGTACATCACTCAGCGACACTCCTGTAACGTACAGAGCAAACTAGATTCGAAGCTTTCAGAATTACTCTTTGGTTATTTCGGTAAAGTCACTTAGAAAGAAATGAAATAATAATGGAATACGACGTTTCGATTGCAACACAAGCAACCATCATCTTGTACAAATGAATGAGAAAACAAACATCTTCTTTGGTTCTTTCGGTAAAGTCACGTAGAATGAGAATAAATTAATAAATTGATAAAATAAAATAACACAATAATATTCTCACGACGTTTCGGCCACAACACAAGGGACGAGAATGTCTGGTAGGACAGCGCTGGAGCGAAAGAGCCACGTTCAGATCACGGCCTTTAAGCTGTGTGAGAGGAACAAAGCGCCTTGACAAAGGAATTAGCATATAATTTAGCATTGAAATGGCTGAATGATTAGCTTGTGACTGGTCACAGGAATAGCTATGTTAAAAGTTAAAGCATACATATCCGCAGAGGCACCCCTTGTTAAAGGAATTAGCATAGAATTTAGCATTGAAATAGCTAAGTTAAAGCATACACATCCGCAGAGGCACACCTTGACAATGGAATTAGCATAGAATTTAGCATTGAAATAGCTGAGTGATTAGCTTGTAACTGCTCACAGAAATAGCTACGTTAAAGTCAGAGCATACACATTCACCGAGGCACTTAGTACAAATCAAACAGGAGAATTTAGCATTGAAATAACTAGGCGAATTTAGCATTGAAATAACTGAGTGATTAGCTAGTGACTGGTCACAGAAATGACTATGTTGAAGTCAAGGCCTACACATCTGAGCTATTCACAGTACTATATAGTGAACCAATAAAAAACTAAATATAAATTACCTTAATGTTATCAATAAACTCTATATTCTCCAATCAGCTAAGCTACCAACAATAAGTCGTTATATATCACAATGCTATATGGCGAAAAAATGGGTGGATTCTTACCCTCAACTTTAGCACCACGGATAGCTACGGGCTCCGTTCAGACGGACGAGTTCGCCCATGGTCAGAACAGAGGAGGGGGAGAGAGACAGCTGCGAGGCGCTATTATACTCCATGTTGTAAAACCATACCATTAACCGTGGTGTGAGAGGTATTAAGAGTCAATGCTGGCGAAGGAGCTGCGGTCTGAAGGTCATCGTAAAAATACAATTAATTAAGAACAGAAATGATTTAAAACATCTTTCCAGTGGTTACTAAGCCAGAATCCATCTTCTCGGTTGAAATTGTCTCTGTGCTTGTATATGTGAATGGCCTCATGAACGAATCTCTCATGGTAGCCGGTTGGTTTGCAAAGAACCTCCGTCTTGGAGAAGTCAATGTCATGTGAGCCCACTGAATTATAACAGTGATCTGCCACGGCAGAGGAGTTCGTCCTACCGTGTTTCAAGTCTGCTTTATGTTCGTGGATGTGGTCCGAGATATGTCTTTTGGTTTCTCCAATGTAGCTACTACCACAGAGGCACTTTAGTTTGTAAACACCCGGGTACTGTATGTCTGGAACAGCATCTTTTACAGATGGAACTAAATCACGGATTTTATGTACTGTGTTGAATCGGACCTGGATCTTGTGTTTATTCAGGATTTTGGAGATCTTTTTAGTGACCCCTGCAATGTAGGGTAAGGTGATGGTTTTGAGTGGCTCCACAAGAGGATCCTTCTTCATGACTGGAGTGATGGCTTTGCGGATTGTGTAGTCGGAGTAGCCATTAGCCCTGAGAGCCTGGTGTACGTGCTTGAGTTCACTGGTAATGTGTTCCTGGTCGGGAATGCATTGGGCACTATGGTATAGAGTCTTGATGAGGGAGTTCTTCTGGGATGGATGGTGGTGGGAATCCGGTTTCAAGTAAGCATCTGTATGGGTAGCTTTCCTGTAGACAGAGTGGCTCATTGAACCATCATGTCTCCTTTTAATTAAGACATCCAAAAAGGGTAGTTTGCCATCTTTTTCGACCTCCATGGTAAATCTGATGGTTGGGTGTATGGAATTGATGTGGTCGCGGAATTGGTCTAGAGCAGGCTGGCCATGTGGCCAGATGACAAAGGTGTCATCAACGTACCTCTTCCATAAGGTCGGGCGTAGAGTGGCAGTCTGGATGGCGTCAGTTTCAAATTTTTCCATGAATACGTTGGCTACAACCGGAGATAGGGGGGAGCCCATTGGGGTGCCCTCAGTTTGTTTGTAGAAAGTTCCATTCCAGGTGAAGTATGTGTTGGTTAAGCAATGTCTCACCAGGGGGGGTACATCAGTATGCAGTCCTTGATGAACCAGGTCTTCAATGATAGCGATGGTGTCAGGTACCGGGACTTTGGTGAACAAGGACACCACATCAAAACTGACAAGCAGGTCGTTTGGGGACAGGGAAATGCCTTTGATTGTCGATACCAGGTGAGTAGAATTTAGTACCGCAGAGGTGGTTTTTCCAGTGAAAGGTCGCAGTATATCAGCAAGAAAACGTGCCAGTTTGTAGGTGGGGGAGTTGATAGTAGAGACGATGGGACGAAGGGGTGTATCTTCTTTGTGTATCTTTGGAAGGCCATATAAGATTTGTTCATAGATTTAGTTTATCATAGAACGTGCTCAAAATGAATGAGTACATCTTGAAATAGTCATATAAAGCGAGCGTATGTACGTATGTTGAACTTCTTTCGCACCGTTCCAAGCCAACCAGGCTAATAGGTGCGGGGGAAAGACAACAAGGAAGTGCTGTTGTGTTGCACAAACAGATGGTGGAGCTACAGCTGTAACACTGAAGCTGGAATCTGGCATCAGCAAGCACTGGGGAACAGTGAGGCCTGAGTTTAAATGACACTGTGGCGTGGGTCATCACGAAACTATTAAACAAAAATTAATTTTATTTTACCAGCTAAGGCCCACTGAGCTACAAAGCTCTTTTTCAGAAACAATATGGAGGGAAAAAAACTGGAGGACCCGGAGAGAGCACATGGAACGGGGAGAGAGACATGTAAACTCCATTTATACAGCAGGTGTCAGGATCGGGATCGAACCTACGACCTCCTGTATACAAGGCGAGGTAGTTAACATCTCGCCACCGTGAGATGTTAATGGTATTGCATCATTAAATCATTGCTTATCTTAAAAAATATAATAAAATACAAATGTGTGTGATGCTTCTCCCAACACCGGTTTGTGTTTAACAATTCAAACTTTTGTCTCTCGATAGAAATTTATTGAATTGCAACGGCGGAGGCAGATGCTTGTGAAAAGATCAACGGACGATTTGAGACGCTACGATGAAAGTACGCACTTCGCCTTGCCCGTCACATCTTGCGTGTGCCACGTGAATACAACCCTCTAGGAGCATTTGTGTCATTCTCACTTTATGCCCAGATTGCTTGAGAGAAGATGCTGCACCCAACGCACCATTGTTATTATGATGAAGTGTACGCATGACTTGCGTTGACAAGAATATCCTCCTGCACCGCTCACACCCTCCTAGCCACACGGTCATCACGGAAGAGGAGGAGGAAACACAAAGCTCACGACTCGCCCATCCCACAGCAACAGGGCGAGCCAGGTGACCGTCCTGCCAGGTATGACCGTGATTGATTTTGACAGTACAGCAGTCCCTCGGTTGACAGTGACATCGGTAAACGTTTTTTAGGGTTAACGTTTCGCCCCCCATAGAATCTCATGGTTTTGACTGACGTTAACATTCTGACTAACGGTACGTTTACGTTATGCACGCGATGGTGCCAATTTCGGCCAATCCGAGCGCTCGTAAGTGGGGCTGAGCCAAAGCCCTTAGCCAATCAGCGATGCACCATTTATGAGCATTGAGACCTCGACTGGCTTTGTTTACATTATAACGTTTTCTGTTTTGTCAGTGGAAACAGCTCTCTTGCAGACTCGGTAATTTTTACTTATTTTTGAACTTATAAGTGAATTCGATTAACAGTTATTTTGGTTCAGAGTAGTTTTCATGGAACGGATTTAAAACGTTACCCGAGGGATTGCTGTATGTACACTTACTGGACAAATCCATTTACCTGTGCACCGATGGGATGAAGTAGAGCTCATAAGTATACTGCATTCGTGTTCATACCGCGGCGGGTCTAATCGTTCCCGTCGCTCGTTGTGATGCAGCGAGGGCCCGGAGGCGCAGTGGAGCGAGCTCAAGCAGTACTTCCACGCCAACAAACGGCTCGAGCCGCCACCGTGCAGCCGTCCCCCTCCCATGGTACGCCTCTCGCCCACTGCTCCCGGCCCCGTGGGCGCAAATGAGAGCCCCCTGCCTCACACCCATACCCCCTTTTCCACTGACGCAGTGCGGACGGTTTTCCAGCGGATATTTGACGTTTCCGAAACAAGCCGCGATGTACGCTGGCCCCGCAAGAAGACATCTGTATACAAAAAAACTACAGTCTGTTCTCCTATAATGCGGTTGTAGTTGCGTTCCTGAAGAACACCGCATTATGGAAAAATTACGTTATAATGAATAATATAAAGCACGGTCCACGATAACACGTGAGATGCGTATGCAGGCTGAACAAAGACTGAGGCGCGTGGGTAGCATCGAGAAGCATCCAGCAGCCTCCCGTCGTGTGTGATGCTGCGCCAAGGCAGCCGTACGGCCACTTGTTCCTACTCGCGCACCGTAGTTCCATTCACTCGACCGCATTATATCCATTTCTCATCCAAGTTATAAAAAATGTGTTCCCAAATACATTCATCGCGTTACATCAGATTCGCGTTTTGAAAACACACGTTACAGGAGAAGAGACTGTATTTTTATTTCAGAACCTACCTGGCCACAAATGATAGCTTAACGAAGTGGCTTGTCACGTGTAAATTTATAGCAGGAGCCAAATACTCCAAACGCGTGATGTTGATTTTAATGTGGAGGGGAAAACCGGAGGAGCCGGAGAGAAATCGACACGACCACGGGGTGAACATGCAAACTCCAAACATACAGCAGGCGTCAGGGTCGGGATCGAACCCACGACCTCCTGTATACCAGGCGAGGCTTGACCCCCGAGACAGATTCAGATCTGGCTCGGGGGTCAAGCAGGACCAAGGGCAAGTCTAATGTCACCTTCACCACTTGCGACGTCAGTCAGTACGTGGTGAGGACTTGGCATCACCCCCGCGCCAACATCTCGCCTCGAGGTCTGCAGTGGAAAACAATCCGATGCCTCCTGACCCACGCCAGGCTGGCTCGGCAAGGACCCGGGACGGCACCGTACGGTACACGGCTCCGTACGGTGCAAAAAGGGTTCTTATAAACCCGACCATTAAAGATGACAAACCCTGACAATCTGAATATTTATTTAGACTGGAGGAATTCAATGAGCTATGAAGCTCTTTTTCACAAATGTCCCGTTGGTTCAGAGATGTCCAATAGGACATCTATGAACCGACTGTGGTGATGATAGCATACTGTGAGGGCTGTTTTAGATGGCACAGATGTGCTGGGTTTTTTTACGTGTGCAATTTTTACGTTTTCCCCATCCGAAAAAAATAATGGGTGACACCACGATCTGTGGAGGATGGGGGGCCTTGCCGTTGCCCCTGGGCCTGGTTAAATGAGCATCGTTCCGTGGGAAGTCAACAGGAGGATTTCACCACAAATCTCGCTGTCGCCGGATGATGCTGGTTGTTATTACTGGCGAAACATCGTACTCGAATTGGTGTGCTGTACCAGTAACGAATTGGCACGTTTTGTGTACGTGACAAACCTTACTAATTGGTTGTGTCGTGTGGTAGCGGGTTTAACGACACATTTATATTTACGCGATCTAACCCAAAAAAACCTCTATTATGGGAAATCAACAGTCAATGTCACCCAAAGTGGCACCACGCTCATTTGATCAATAAAAAGCTTTGTTCATGACGGGCCAAAATTGCACTTCACGCGCGTATTTCGCTGGGTCTCTCCAACGTGCATAATGTCATGTACACTCAGCAAAAGTAACCGCCAATTTAGAACAGAATCACAAGGCTGCCTGCCTACAGGAAGTAAAGAAGGAAGCGCCGTGGAGATAACGCAGAGTGGAAGTGAAACGCAGACCTAAATCTGCGTGTCTAAGGGCATCAGAGGAAAGTGGACACCTCTCCCAATACATTCGCTGCACAGTCACATTCATGACCTCTCAGCCAGCCTCTACACCCAGCGACGAGTGTTGTCGGAGCCTTATCCAAACCTCACCATTGGCTCGAATCGTACTCACTTCTATGATCCACCCTACCCGCACTGGCCATGTAGAGGCCAGAAACCCTTCTGGGCACTATATTGAAGCTACCACATTTCTGGGAGGCTCAGCATGCTGCCCCCACACACCCAGTGAGTCGACCTTTGTCACCTTGGGCCCATATCATGAGTCACGCACGAGACAACAGCGCATATTTTTTTTACAAAATCTTCGGAACACTGAGACGGCCTTTGTGAAACTGGGACTGTCAGTCAAAACTGAGGGACGCTTGGTAGCTTCATATACCCACTACCTCTCGTTGCTGAGCGGCACAACATCACGGTCAACCTGGAGAGGGCGGACTTGCACTGGCATGAGGCCGAAGAGCTGCCAAGGATACAACGTTAAAGGGCCGTGCGTAAATTATGTCACGCACCTGGGGGGGGGGGGGTCAGACATTTGTGACGATGTGTTACGAGGGGGGGGGGGTTGAGAAATGTGACATCACATCAAAATGCGCAACTTTAAATAAATATAGAATTGTTATAACAACACTAATTGTTATAACAACATTCCTACAACATCAGAGTGCAGCACCACATTAAATACGCACTACAATGACAATAGTTTAAAGCGATTTCAAGCATGTTTTCTTTAAAAATGGAAATATGGTTTTGGGGGGGTGGGGGGGGCAAAGCTTTGTGACGTAATTTATGGACGGCCCCTAAAGATAATGTAAAGCAGTGTTCTTCATTGCAAGGCCGGCGGGCCACTGGTGACTCCTGGTGGCCTTTAGTGCAGCCCCTGACGTGCGGCCCCTGACAATACACAAATGTGAAAACACCCCCCATCATAAATCTTGACTTAAAGCTTTCTTGACTGCAGGAATTCATATTCTTTAGGTCTTTCGGTAAAGTCACGTAGAAAGGTTAAATTAATAGTTTTTTTTTATTAATTTGAACCTATCTATGTGACTTTACCAAAAGACCCAATGAATATACCCCCCATCATCATCGTTCTGTCAAACCCCAATCGTTTCAAATGTGTGGTGGCCCTCGCACCGATGATGTTTTATCGGCAAAAGCGGCCCCCCTCTGAAAGTTAGTGAAGAACACTGATTAAGTTTATTGTAAGAGTAGGTTGGCCTGCGTTGAGTGAAAATCTCCATAGTGTGTTACTTCTCATTGCGGTTTAAAATGTACGCAGCCGGGCAAGTGACGTGAGAGCGTGCACGTCACGATGAACCAGTGACGTCACAATCGTCACTGGGGCCAGCACTGCACGATAATAAAATAAGTGTTTTGCAAGAGAGCTGCATTGCATCAGTGCAGTACTGAGAATGGTCAGTTTAAGTCGGGGGTTACGTTCCTGGAAAACACGACTTAAACTGGGACGACGTTAACTGATTAGCTATTTCCGGTAAGAACGAACTGAAATACAGGAGATACGTTCCAGCACTCCGATACTCCATATGTAAAGTCTTAATAGATTGCAAATATACAATTTAATGAGGAATAATACTAAATAATGGAGGAAAATAAATAAAATATATTTACACACAAGTTAAAAATACATTACATGACAATAATATAAGATGCGCAATAGGTATATAAATCTTGCCAGGGTATATTTGCTCACATTATCATGGGGGGGCGATGTGGCTCGAATAAGTCGAGGGAGGTCAAGAGGCAAGTGGTGGAGGCATACATCGGCGAATGATAACAAAAAATTGCAGCATAGTACGACTACACTGCTAAAAGTAGTCCCTCCGGCAAGCGCGTGCAGCACAAAAACACAACTTGGTAGCGAGCAATTGAGCAACTTACAATTGATAGTATACACTTTTGTCGATGACATAAAACTGATCGACGACTTAAACTGATAATGATGTACCCAACTTAAATTGATTGTTTCCGGTGCTGAAAGATTGCTACTTGGCCTGTATTTGACTTCATGAGGAATGTTCAATGCTTTCCAGTTCAGGTTTAAAGCGTTTATGCATTACCTTTGGCCGTCTGTGCGCGATGGGGTGCAAGATAGTGCCCTTGAGATGATCCAAATTTGACCAAACCTATTTTTATCTGTAATCCGACGAAGACACCAGCTTTGACTTTTGTCTCAGACAGCGTAGGGAAGAAATCTTGAAGGTACTTGAAGGCTGCTGACTCCTTATCTACAGCTCTGACAAATTGTTTCATAAGGCCCAATTTGATGTGCATTGGTGGCATCAGCACCTTCCGGGGGTCCACCAGTGGCTCCCACTTGACATTGTTCCTCCCCAAAGAGAACTCGGTCCGCTGTGGCCAGTCCCGCCTGTAGTTAGTGCGCCTTGGTGCCCCTGCTGTCCCAAAGGCAAAGATAGCAGGGAAATTTGGTAAAACCACCTTGGAGACCCATCAGGAATGCCACCATTTTGAAGTCTCCCAGCCATACTCATCATACTTCAAGGTGTCCAGCAAGGTCTTGATGCTGTTGTAATGCTCTTTGAGGTGCACCGAGTGAGCCAGAGGAAGATACAGGTACTTGTTACCATTATAGAGCAGGACGGCTTTGAGGCTCCTGGATGAGCTGTCAATGAAGAGGCGCCACTCATTCTGGTTACAGGCGATTCCGATTGCCTCGAACAGACTGGTCACATTGTGGCAGAAGCAGAGTCCATCTTGATGGGTGAAGAAGTTGCAAAAAGGTTGGTGACGCTTCCTCTGATCTGCGACTTGCACACTTTCATCCAACAAGTTCCACTGCTTGAGCCTAGACGTCAAAACCTCGGCATTGGACTTGGTGAGACGAAGATCTCTGATAATGTCGTTGCAGTCTTTTTGGTTGGGGTAGTATGGGTTTCTCTACTAAGCTCCATCTGGATCTACAACGTCTTCCTCGCTCTCTGATTTGCTGCTCTCTTCTAAAGATGGCTGCTCTCTCTCCGGAGGAGTGGGTACGGGGAGCTCATGGCAGTGTGGCACCGGGGTGATGGATGAAGGAAGGTCCGGATACATGATAGCAGGTGCATTCTTGCCAGTCCGACATTTGGAAGGGTCCACCATGCAGA